CATGATTAAATACCTCAGCTTGTCTAAGAGATCTGTCTAATAAACAGCTATTAAAACAAATTTTGAAGTACCCCTCTCTTTTGTCGTTGCTCCATGCAGAACAAATACTCATCACATTTCACAGTATCATGTTAATTTAAAAACAAACTATATTACAAGGTGGGTGAACCATGAAAACACTATGCTAGGTAAAGGAAGCCATATTTTTTTCCATTTATATGAAACGTCTAGAATAGGTAAATCCATGGAGACAGAAAGTAGATTAGCAATTGCCAGGGGCTAGGAATAGGGGAAACAAGGGGTACCTGATAATGTGTATGGGAAGTCTTTCTGGGGTCATGTAAATGTTCTTGAATTAGATAGTAGTAATGGTTGTACAACTTTTGAATATAATCATGAATTTTACAGCATGACAGTGTGAATTTTATGGTAATTGAATTATATCTCAATAAAAGTGTTATAAAAACTTAGTCCTCAGCTAAGCACCTTTTTAAAAAAATGTTAGTCTTACTATGTCTTAGATGACTGACTGGCTAGGCCACAAGGATAAGATGAAAATTTATTGTCATGATACTCTTGTGCATTTAAAATTTTTGTATTATGTATACGTACTCTTTTTGAAAAAATAATTAACTTATTTTTTCAATATCATTCTTTTGTTATTACAAAATTTTTACTCATGTAATACTAGATTATTGCTGCCTCAATCCTTGAATAAAATTCTATAGTCAGTATATTTTACATAACTTGAAAGGGTGATTACAAGTGAACCCTTTATTAGAAAACATTGAAATGATTTTAGAAGTACCTAGCCATCCAAAGTTACAGTTGAGAACTCTAATTTGAACCTGACTCCTACTCCTTTGTAGATATTCTGTCTTTTTTCTATGAGAACAATCTTTATGGGAGATTCTTTTGAAATTCAGAAATTTCAGCACAGTCTTTCTTCATCAATATTGTTTTTTCTCGAGTATCTCAGACATATTAATTATAGCAAAGTAAAATGATCCGTGGACTTCCTGCAAAAGATATCCTTTAATGATTATAAATGACAGCTATTTGGCTAGCTGCTTGCTCCAGCCCAGCTAAGTATTCCTTATTTCCATTCCTTATTTCTGTCATAACAAACATTTGTTATTAAAGGCTTCCCTGCAACAGGTACCTTATTCCAGGTGATCACATTTGATAATATAAGTATTTTACCATTGCATGCCATGGACTACTTGTATCTTATTTTCCACTGGTAACGAAGTCATCACTGTCTTTTGACCCACACCAAATCAAATAATAAATCTTAAATTCCTATTGTTGAAGTTTTATTTATTTATTTTATGAACACCTTTCTGTACCAAACACTGTATCAGCCAAGAGATTAATAGAAGAAATACAAACCATTCTGGATATTTTATACTGAAAAGAAATTTGGTGCATACAAAATCTTTTGAAAGATTGGGGCTGTGAACATCAGAGGTCCAATGAGATTTTTAGTTTCAAGATCATGCAACTGTAGCTGTGATATAGAAATCAGAAAACACATCCAGATATTGCAGCTGACCTTTTCCAGAACTACTCCTCTACCATGACCTTATAACTTTGAAGCTGGTGAGCAGAAGCTAGAATGCAGATTCTATTTTCACAGATGTTACAGCTTGCCTTGCTGGTGCTATAGCTGAAGGAAGATAATCTCTGCCTCCCTTTCACTTTCTAAATCTTATGAGACCCAGCATATGTGAATTATATAATTGTTCTAAAGGTTTTTAGAAATTTAGTTCTTCTCATGTTGTTAGTTTTACTTAAATATTTAATAATTCTTGATTGTTTCTATGTCTGTATACAGAGATTGTGTGGTGTTGGTAGCCAGAATTTGTATACCTTGCCTAAATGAGAAGCCCTGTTCACCTGGCAGACAGTGAATGCAAGTTCTATTTATAGCTGTCCTTGCTCTGATGGTTGTGGTGGGTTGGAAGAAGGTTGGTGGTGTGGTGAGGATGCATGTGAGTAGGCTCTCTTTTATGGTTTATGAGTAGTTTATGTGCTGGCTCTTCCTATTTCTTGTGGCAGTAGTCACTGGGTTCATTCTTTCTTCCTCCTATAAATGCGGTGCGCATTCTGGTAATTTCTGGAATCAGACTTCCTTCTTAGTAGAACTGAACTTGAATTTTTATTCTTGGGAAAAACACTGTTTCAGTTCCTTTGAAACAGGATTACTATGTGGCTTTTCCCCTTCTAATCTATTACTCAGCCTGTTGTCCAAAACTATACCTTTCTTACAGGCCTTGTTTCTAATTTGAGAGTAATTCAGGGAATTTACTGGAAAACTCACTTCAGTGACTTATCTTTTTCCCTTAGATGAGATTATTAGTTTCTTAGTTTGGTAGTTTTGTTGGCAATCTGAGTCTACCTCCACAACATCAATAACCCTCAAAAGTTTGCTGGCGACACTCCTCTCAGGTTTATAGCTGTCCTATGGTTTTATGCTTTTATTTCTATTTTTATATTTCTTCTGTGATTTCAGCAAAATTTGGGGAGAGTGGAAAGGTAATTCACATGTTCAATTACCCTTTGTGAACCAGACCTATTATCCTTAGACTTAAAACAAACTGATGCACTTTCCTGGCTGCTTTAAAACATGAATCAGGATCTACATCTTCTCCCTCAAACCAGATAATTCAATTTTCGTATTCATTTCTCTTATTTTACTTTCCCAAGCACGCGTATCTTTACCTCTAAACTTCTTGGATTTGGTTACAATCATAAGGAAAAGGATTGACTAAATATTATTTAAAATTTTGGAATGGGAGTTTCTACAGCGCTATGGAAAGGTTTGAGGGAACACATAGCACTGGTAGTTTGGGTCAGGTGACTAGAGGTTTAGAGAGATTGGAAGGGTTTACATTTTTAGCAGAGATGAGGAAGACAGAAAGATGAGGTAGACAGAAAGATGAAGTTGTAATATAATTGGTATAACTACTGTTTTGGAGGAATGTCCTGGGGGCATTTGAGGTAGTCCAGCTTTGAGTGAATCTGACTGGTCATAGTCTCTTAGCCCTGGGCATTTGCACGTGTACGTTCTGTGATCTGAAACATCTTTGTCTCCTTTTCTCCCTCCCCCAGGGCAGTTCAGATACTTTATGTTTGGATCTAAATATAACTTTCTCCAGGAAGACTTCCCTGAGTACCTTTTCTTCTCTTTTCATGTATACTTTTTTTTTCCCCTGGTAGCCCTTTTCACAATATACAGCAATTGTTTATTGGCTTGTTCGTATCAACTGAATCCTAAGCTCTGAAGAGGGCCAAGACAACAAATGTCTTGCAGAAAGTCCAGCCTCTATGTAATCATCCCATGAATTGTAGCACATATTTACTATTTTTCAAATTTAATGTTATAAAATTTAATTCCCGTTTATACAGCATTAATCACGTTTCTTTAAAAAGTAAGTTCCACTACTGAATTATATGACTTGATTCCTACACATTTAATTTACAGTCTTTCATAACACTGTATTTCCCCATATTACAAACACTGCCACTTAATGCATACTTGTGGAATAGACAAATGAATTGAATCAGCTTCATGAAAATCTTCCTCTAACTTTGATTTGGTGTTTTAAAAAGTATTAATACTGCTCAGATTCTAACACTTTAATATTGCTTTAAATGGGAAAAAAATGTTTGAAATTATTGAAGGACTGGCATGTCCTGTTGTACATACTGTTCTGATGTTTTTATGAGTTTAAAAATTTATCTTAAAAAATAAATTCTCTAAGTGGATGCAAGGCACTATTTCACATTCATGTGGACACATATTCTTAGTTAATGCAGAATATACTTGTGAGGGAATATTTTCCTCAAGACGTATTCTCACTTTTTCTTAGCAAAATTAAATACTGAGTATGTTTTATTTACATGGAAATGTCTGTCCACAGTACAATCATTCTAACAACAGTTAATTAATATAAGTAAATGAATGTTTTTTTTTCCCCTGATAGAGTTGTAATTTTCAAAGCAGTAATCAAACAATGTCTAATTTTAACGGATGCAGTTCGTGGAAGAAGCAGCAGGTAGAGTGTGGCTGTCGGTACTCAGTTTTTTGTTAGTGACTTAGGTTAGCAAACATCCCTTTGTGGAAAGTGTATTCTGAGTAAATCCTTAGAAAACAAAAACTAGAAACCAAAATTGACGTCCACGAATTTGGGCTAAGGGCGGAGCCTTACGGATTTGTGGGCGGAGCCGCTCATGGTCTGGGCGGGCTCTGTTCCCGCTCGGTACTACTCGGCTCCGCTCGGCTCCACTCGGCTCCCTGTCACCTCCTGTTCGGGTCTGTTCCGCTCCCCTCCTGGAGGGAGGGCGGCGGCGAGTCCAGCGCACGCGCTTTCGGTTCCTGCTGCATTTAGGGCAGCGCTCTGCCTTGTTTTCACTTCCTTCTCTTCGGAGCTGTATCCGGGTCGTTGCTTTCCCCATTGTCTAAGGCAGTCGGCCTTGGACTGTGCAAATCCTGGGGCTTTTGTTGCTTCTGGTGCAGGCTAATAAAGTTTTTCTTTCTTTTTTTTTTTTTCCTAACAGTTTTAACGGGGGAAATTGATTCCCCAGGGCTGCCGGATTGGCCGCGCTGCCTGGGCCAGAGGGCGCCTCTGCCCCGGGAGCGCCGTGGGAAGGGGCGCGAACGGCCGGGGCCGGTTCTACGAAGACTAAGGGGCGGGGCTGGGGGGCGGGAGGGGACCGCGGGGCTGCACCTTGGGACTCCCAGGGCCGGTCGGCTGCATCTCAATTTTAAATAGCGTCTTTCCAACTTGTTTCCGCGGTCTCTGTCCCTGACCTCGGCGCTGCCTGGGCTCTCGCAGCCTCTCCCTAGGTCTCTTCCAAACGACCACCACACGGATTCCTTAGTAAGTGTCGGAGGCCTCCGCGGGAGAGAGGTCCATTTCAGCCTGCTAGAAGTCAGGGCCAGTGGGAGACAGGGCGGGGGTGGGAGGGTCCTGCGGCACCCTGGACCCTTCGTGGACTCTTCGCGTTCGCAGATCGCGGGAATGATGGCAGCTTTTATTCCTTGGGTTTTGCGTTTCCTTTCTGTTGACTCGTGCGCTGTCTAAATGGGGGATTACGAGCGAGTTGCAGAAATATCACAAGGTGTGCAACAGAGTCAGCTTCGATTTTGGCGATCCTGGGTTCGTACCCTGGGGCTGGAGCTACCCACGTTGCTGCCCGGCCCGCTCCAGCCCGTGATCCCACCCCAACCTTTCCCTCGGCTCCCTCACATTTGCTGACAACTGAATTAGAAAAAGATTCCCTGCACGAGGTCTTCTGTATCCTCTACATCTCTCCCCTGTGCTCGGTGTGGTTATAAATGACGATGTAATATTTTTTTCTTAACAGTGGATCGCAGCTCCAAGAGGAGGCAGGTGAAGCCTTTGGCAGCTTCTCTGCTAGAAGCTCTCGATTATGATAGTTCAGATGACAGTGATTTTAAAGTTGGAGATGCCTCAGGTAAATGTTTCTCTCTTCCCTTCTCCCAGCTTTCTGAAGTTGGGTTTATTTTCAGACTTTTTTTTTTTTTTTTAATAGCATTGGTTTTGATTAAAATGCCAATTTAAAGTTAAAGCACATAAATATTTATTTTGTCCATTTGATTTACCACATTTCCCTAAGATCCTATCACTAGATTCTATCATTCTGTTTTCATTGATAGTTAGGTAATTAGCAGGCAGAGGGCTTATTCCAAAGATCCAAAAGCATCTTTCTCTATTGTTTACTCTAAAATATATTTATGCTTATTTCATGGATAGAGGAAAAAAAATTGAGAGATACCCAGAGTAGAATAATATCCTGAGAGTAACGTGAGCCAGGAACAGCACATGAGCAGGGTTCTTCTCTTTTAAGATCACTTGGCACCCTTGGAGGAGAATTTTGCTTTTTGCATATTCATTCTCTTACCAGAATAAAACTGACCGCATAAAAAAGTTGTTCTGTGTGTTAGGTGCTGGACCTTTTGGATTGGGCTTTTCAAAAATCTCTTGAGATGTAAAACATGTATGCTCGCTCTTTATATTTTGTGATTTTAAAAACAATTGTGAATATATGGAAAACAGAAAAGTATGGTCTTTTCTATCTTTTGTTCATCGTACCTCATATATATGAATACATAAAAAGTTTTAATTGCAGGAATTAGAAATAGATACAAATTATATTTAAATATTTTATGTGACAAATACTAAGACACATGAACAATATAAATTATAATTCTGCCATTTTTAATGGAAATTTAAAGAAAGTGAGAAATGAAATCTCTTCTAGTTGTATTCCTTTAACAGTTCTTTAAATATTACTCTAGAGGGTATTCTGTGCTTAGTCATATCTCTCTCTTTTCTGGTTTTCCTTTTTTTTTTTCCTAGGGATGATAGGAAGGAATGAAGTTAGGTTGTGTTGTGTTGCTATTATTACTTTTAGTAGCATCAACAGTCAGAAGTCACTTGGTGATTTAATAAGAACTTTTTGTTTCCATAAGCTCATTTAATTTTTATAATAACTCAGTGAAGGAGATATTATTTTACAGATAACTTGCATGAAGTCACTCAGGCCATAGTGGATGTAATCCATGTCTCTCGATTCCAAAATGCACTATCTTTTCACTGCTTAGATCCTAGGGTATAACCTTGAACTAAAACTATTTGGATGTTGTGACTAATTGAGGACACTCAAGCAATCAAAAGTTATTTATCTTGATTAATTGCTTTATAACCTTTGCTTCTTAGTTGTTTTATCTTTTATTTAGTTGTTTGATAATTTTAAATACTTTGGTTTTCTTGGTGAAACTTTGGCAGATAAGAATATTCTTGTTTAGAATGTTTTGGTTTGTTATGGTCCAGGTTGTAAACTGTAACAAAAATAGTTGGGTCTCAGAAATTATGACTTATTTGAATACCATTATGGGAAAAACTCCAAAACTTAATATTTTTAAGTATTCCATAGTTATTTTGTGACAATAAATACTGATTTGTAGATATTTTTTTTCTTTTTGCTTATTGAAATGGAGTTATTCACAGGTATCACTTTTCTTTAAACGGGTTAAAACAATTTAATGGTACAAACTACTTTCTCAAAATAATTTATGGTATCATGCTAAGTAGAGATTCCTGACCTTGTTAAATCTTAATCAGAGTTGATGGGAATTATCTATTTGTGGTAAGTAATAGGATGAGTTTTGTTAGGCTGATAGATTTTTTTTTTAAAGTCTCCTAAAAGCACTAAAAATATATATACTTTCTGTTCCCTCTTTTCATAGCACCTAGTTGGTTGACTTTCAGTTTACTTCCCTGGCCCCTGGGGAGCTTAAATTTGTGACCCATGGTCAAACTTTATGTATATATTCTTGATATATTATTGTAAATGAGAGTTCAGTAGAAAATTATTTTTTAAAAAAATAGTTCATAATCAGTAGAAACTGAATGATATTTCCTGCTCTTGGTTAAGGTGCATTAGTGTTTCCCATAGCTGAGATGTTGGCTTACTCTAGATTACCGGTGTTTACTATTTGAATTTTTTCTCTTCTCTGCCTGATATAACTGGACTTTTATAAGAAATAAGACATTAGACTTGTCGCTGGTTTTCAAACATGTTGAAGTTGTGGAATCCCAACCCTACTTATTGGTGGGAGATTAAACTGAAAGTGGAGTAATAGCTGAACATCTGTTTGATCATAGCGTCTTTCAAAACAATCTCTAGAAATGATTCACAGAATGAACTACTGAATTCCTTAGAACTTAATGTTAAAGTGGTAAGATTGGTTGGCCTCAATTTTTTATCTGGATTCTGTGCATCAATTTCTTCTGATCCTTATTTTGAAATCTGAAATTCTGACTACGAAACTTCATATTTTTGTTTGGCATGAAGACTAAATATAGACAATTCTGAAAGGTTATTTAAGGCCCTTCAGATAAACAATTTTATTTACATGCTTCTCAGATGATAAAATGAAAACAGATAAATATTGCTCAAATATTATCTGCCAATAAGATTGGCAAGTGATTATTGACAGTTAATAATTTATAAGCCTCTACCATTAGAAAATTATGAAGTGAAAAATAGATTATCTTTTATCTCTAATGTGAAAGTAGAGCTAAATTTCTCACTTTTGATTAAGGACAGTCAATAAATACATTTTAAAATTAATAAGTCCTAAAATGGAATATAAGTGTATTAGAATTATGGTAATAACTACCAGAAGAACCATATTTAGAAACGTAGGTAGAACCACATAAAATTATCAGTTTTTCTAGGTATAAAAGTCATATTGGCAATTTCATGGGTTGGCCTAATTAAAGTGGTTATATTTGAGCCTTGGACCTAGGATTAGGGCTAGGATAGATTATATTTAGTAATCTACTATATAAATGGAATATTTTTGTAGATAATTACATGTATTACTTTTAATAAAAAGACAAAATAGCAGTGCAGTGTTCCCCAACCCTCAGCCAAAATCAGATGGTTAACTTTAGATCTTAGTTTAGTTAGGTGAAATTGTCAGAAAATAATTTAACTGAAAGAGTCAAACTGAGACTTTGATTTGGTAGTATTTTGTGCTTAATCTGAATTTAGCTTACGTGGATCAAGACATGTTCTTGACGATCTGTAATTTTGTTTGTTTAAAAGCACTTTTCTGGGTGTTATGGCAAATTCACAAAGAAATACTGATAATAATAGAATTAAATAAAATAATAGATAGATGATACAAGGCATGATTGATCACTTAATGCAGTTCAAGTCTTTCAAAGGACACAGGATTGATCTAGGAGAATTCATTGAGAAGAGATGAGCTAGAAACTGAAAGAAAAGCAATCCAGGTGGGGGAAAGTATGGAGGCTGGAAAATGTCATTTGTTAATCCTGGATCAAGACTGAATGAAAGAATAGTAGAAGAGATGGGAAAGTAGAATGAGGTCACATTGAGTCCTTATTTGGTAGGCCAGGGTTTCTCGGTCTCAACACAGTTGACATTTCGTGTGGACATTCTCTGTTGTGGAGACCTGTCCTGTGTGTTGTAGGATGTTCAGCAGCATCCCAGTCTTCTGCTTACTAAATACCAGTAGTATCTTCCCTACCTAGCTTCCTTCCCTACCACTACCCTTTCAAGGCAACCTTATCTCTAGACACTGCCAAGATAGCCTCTGTGGGACAAAATCCTCACAGTTAGAACTGGAGGGTGAGTTGTGTTGTCTGATTGATTTTTTTTTTTTAAAGAGATATACAGGATTAGTTAAAACGGCCACAAGCTGATAACTGAATAACCAGTAGACTGGAGATGTCTATTATCTATTGTGTATATTTATAATACTGATCACTGTTGTACTAGATTAATGAACAGAAAAATTGAATAATTAAATAATTGGGGTTGATGAACAAAGGTGATTCTTTATATTGCATAGCTAACATAAAACTCTGATTTAAATCATACTGTTTTTTTTTAAATTTTATATTTGTTTAATATTTATCATGGGGAAAACTTAAGCATTGAATATTGTGAAGGAATTCTTGAAGGTTGGTTTTTTAAAATTCTGTAACTGAAAAATTTCTTACCTGTCTGTTAGTTGAAATAGCTATTGCTTAGAGATTTTGATATAGTGTGTGTTTAAGAAAAGCTACCTTTTATTTAACTGAATAAGGAAGTAGAGATTTCAATTTTAAAGATTATTTTTTTCTAGTTTAAAATTTTTTACAGTATTTGAAGTATCTGGCTTATTTCTCTATTCTATTTAGTCATTCCTTTTCCTTTTTTTTTTTTTTAAGGGCATAAGAGTGATGGATTTGGAACTTGGCACAGAGTCATTGTTTGAATTTGTCATAATGGGAAATTTTTCTTTGCAGCCTACAAAAATATAATTATAGACAGCCAAGCACTCTTCATTTTCTCATTGTCATTGTTACCAAGTTATGCTTGGAACTAAATACTGTTTATCTCCATCCCTCAAGTGCATATGTACCAAAAAGAAGTCATGACTAATCAGATGAAGAAGTTATTTTTCAGAGATCAAAGAAAAATAAAGTTTGATATATTCTTGGTGCTGACAGTTGAAGTATGGCTAATGTGTTGTATTTGGAGAATGAAGGGTTGGATAACCCTCTAGGATTTAGATTTGTGGAAAAATCTCACATTCTGTAGTGATATGTTAACAAATGTAAAGCATTTAAATCTTTAAAAAAATTTTTTTTATTTAGGCATGATTACAAAGAGTATCAATTTCCCTCTACTTTGAAAAATAATTAATTGATTGATATGGCGACAATAATCAAAACAAATTTGCAAAAATTCTTGACATAATGTAAAATTTACCAAGTAATAACAAAGTTGGATTGGTCTCAATTTTGTTCAAGTAATCATATTTGTATCCCAGTTATTCTTACTTTGTGTCTGTTGTTATGTTCTTATTGGTAAAATTATTAGGAGTACTTTTTTGTACTTCTACAAAGGCGTCTAGTGTTCAGGGGAAAAAAGCACCTCTTCTCCATCTCCTAGTTCTCTTGATTATGGCATTGCTGGAAGATGTTCCAATTTTCTGCATTCAGTGTGCACAGAGATCCTTTTTTGTCTTAGAAGTTTTTAGTTAAGTCTACTTATTATTTATTAGATCCTTATCTAAAAATATCCAGAAATAATTAATATTTTTTACCCGAGGTAGTTTTTCTTGGTAGATTGGGTTTAATTGATGTGAGTGGCATAAAAAAGTTATAATTTTCTTAATGATTTGTAGAGCTATTGGACTAAAGTCACCTATTTGTGATTGATATTGAGTCCTACACTTTTTGAAATCTAAGAAGCTTACAAATCCAAAGGTATTTCCTAAATTTGGCACAAACTGATTTGATAGTAAAACCTGACTGGAACGGATAGGAATTTATTTGTAGTGTTTATATATCATACTTATAAATATTCATACTGTTTACTGCTGAAATAATGTGTTTGCTTATAGGATAGTATATATAGACCTCACTGGAGGTGTTAGTGTGATATAGTGTGCATATACTATTCTATTTTTCAAAAAATTTTTAAAAATCTAAGTTCTGAAACATATCTGATTCCAAAAATATCAGATTAGGAATTATTGACACATATGGTGTTGCTCTTGTGTCCTGTGCAAGATTGTTTAGGATGCAAGTGTTTTTTCACAACAGTCCTGAATAAGCTGTGCATGGCAATCTTGAGATTGACAATGATTTATTTTATAAGGTCAATCAATATCTGCTAAATGTTCGTTTTTTTTTTTTAATTTTTTTTTAATCAGCCATTTGTAAAGGATTTCTAAGATATTTTAAATACCAGGTACTAATTACGGACAACTTTCTTTCATTTACTGCCCAGTTACTTACAGAAGCTAAGTCTGCTTGAGTTAACAGAAATTAAAATGGTATGGAAACATGGACTTTTTTCACCATTTATTATTACCCTTCTTGGTTATTCATAGGTGCAAAAAAATTCATCATCCTACAGATTTTACTATTGGTGTTGGCCATGACCTGACTCTGATTGGTTTGTTTTCTACTTTTTTCGGTTCCCCTTCTTTTTTTTCTCTTCCCCTTTGTCTCTTCAGATATTTTAGAGTTTTATTTATTTGTTTAGGTGTAAAGAAGATTAGAGAGAATTAGAAGGTTACTGAGTAGCTTTGGGCTAAGAGGGCCAGTGTTGCCCTAGGTAGGAATGAAAGAATCTTGCTAGAAAGCTTATCATCCTGCATGAACTCTTTAATACCCTTAGCCTATCTTTTTAATGAATACCGTGGTTGCTTATTTCCAAGATGGATTTTTAAAAAATTGATTAATTTATTTCATTGTAGGGGCTGTAGCAGTTACTGCATAGAATTTTTGAAAGTTCAGGTGATTCTTTTATTGATATGAACAGTATCTTAATCAGGAAAATTGAGAATTTCTCTTGCAACTTCCATTTTTCTGTGCCATTGCTATTGTCTCCTCCTAACTGTGTACTTAGTACTCCTAAAATTGATTGGCATATTAGGGGTGTGGTACAAATTGGTTGTCATAAATATCTATGCCCATTTTTGCTGGGTAAAGTATGAATTAAATGAAACAAAGTTTTTTGGGCCAGATTTTTCTTGTTCTGAATGTGACTCCGTGCTTATAATTCCATATAGTTTATGAAAGGAAGATGTAAGAAAAGAATTTGATGAGTAGTATATTATCATTAAGTTAAAGTCAAGTGCCCAATTTAAAAGAAATCACATTTACTTTTAGAGAAAAAAAAATTGCCTCTAGGGTATCAAATATAGCATGAACTACATATAGGACACAAATTGTGCTTCTCTTTTTAAAGCATACATTAATTTAGAGTTACATATCTTCATCTTCATTAGTGCTATATTGAACTAAAACCATTATACCAGTGTCATTGATTTATTATTTAATTAGGTTGGGAATGTCTACCATTCTTTGACTTAAATTTGTTTATATTTTTTTGAAAGTTATTCACAAATTTTGGTGGTTTCATTTGTGTCAGCGTTGTGTGTGTGTGTGTGTATGTATATACATATGTGTGGTTTTTTTTTCTCATATTTTCAACAGATTCTGAAGGGAGTGGTAATGGAAGTGAAGATCCCTCAAAGGACAGTGGAGAAGGTTCCTGTAGTGATTCTGAAGAAAATATTTTAGAGGAAGAACTGAATGAAGATACTAAAGTTAAAGAAGAACAACTTAAAAATTCTGCAGAGGAAGAAATACTGTCATCAGAAAAACAGTTAATTAAAATAGAAAAGAAGGAAGAAGAAGAGAATGGAGAAAGATCTAGAAAGAAAAAGGAGAAAGACAAGGAAAAAGAAAAGGAAAAAGAAAAGGAGCGAGAGAAGGAGAAAGAGAAGGAGAAGGAAAAAGCGACAGTATCTGATAATGTGGCTGCTTCTGCTGCTGCTACCACACCAGCCACAAGTCCTCCTGCCGTTAACACATCTCCTTCAGTCCCCACTACAACTACTACAGAGGAACAAGTCAGCGAGCCAAAAAAGTGGAATCTTCGTCGAAATCGACCACTTTTGGATTTTGTATCTATGGAAGAACTGAATGACATGGATGACTATGACAGTGAAGATGACAATGATTGGCGACCTACTGTAGTAAAGAGGAAGGGAAGATCAGCATCTCAGAAAGAAGGAAGTGACGGAGACAATGAGGATGATGAAGATGAGGGAAGTGGGAGTGATGAGGATGAGAATGATGAAGGCAATGATGAAGACCATAGTAGTCCTGCCAGTGAAGGGGGTTGCAAGAAGAAGAAGAGTAAAGTTCTTAGCAGAAACAGTGCTGATGATGAGGAACTGACCAATGATAGCCTGACACTATCTCAAAGCAAGAGTAATGAGGTAGATCAACCCAATTTTTATGATATCTGTCTGTCTGGGGAAAAGGGAATTCTGTAAACCATTCTACTCGTTATATTAAGTGGCTTCCTTGAAATCCTATTTATAGACAGCTATAGGAGCAAATAAGTGCCTTAATTGTAACATTTATTCACTTGGTCAGCCAACTTTTATTGAGTATCTGCTATTTGTCACCGTTCTCAAGGAACTCACAATCACCGTCCTCAAGGAGCTCACAGTCTAAATAGTTGAGAGATATTTTTATATCCATAGACTTGGGAAATGGTAGGGTTTTCTTTACCCCTTTCTGACCTCTTGCCCCATTGTTCATAGGACTGCTGAGTGGTACTAAGTGGATTATGAGAAAGGTCACCTTTCTTTCAACTTAGTTATATCTACATCCACATAAAAATTTAGACGTTTAGAATACTTAAAGATTGTCTCAGACTTTTAGATGTTCATTTTGGAGGCTAATTCCTTTACAAGTTGTAGCACCCATCATCAGAATGGTCACCAGATCTTTGCTTTAAATGTGGGAGTAAATACGAACTATGTGTTTACATACATTTAGTGAATAAGTTCTCTCTACAAAGAAATGAAAACAAACAAACATTTCTATCATAAAACAAACATTTCTATCATAAAACTACAGTAATGACTCACTTCTTCCACTTGAAGTTCTACTGCCGAAAGTTAGGTTTATCCTTGGGGCCCGAGATGCAACATTCAAGACTCTTCAGTCAAATACATTTGTGTCTCTTTGTCTGTGTGTTTATGTATATGTTTTTCTTCAAAAGAAAGATTGAGTTGTCTTCTCACATGTAGGTGTATATGTTACATCACATGTAGAACTATAATAATTAAGTCTGTCATTTTCGTTAATGTGTTTACAGTTGCAAAAATTCACTTCTCACTTTACCAAGTATTTTTTTTTTTCATATCATTGAAATAGGTTAAACTGGTTGAAAATTTTTTCTTTTATGCTTTTTTTTTTCTTTTACATTCCGCTTGTAAGTTTTATATAGCAGCGATTATCTTAAGTAAGTTTCACTTAAAAATTTGGTGATTTTTTTTTTTAACCAACTAATATATAGTAGTCTGTTAGGGGTTATATGTCAGAGATGAAACAGCAGTTTATATTGTAGATTATAAACATTGTTTCACTTCTAATTTGCCCACTTTCATATGAAGAATATTGCTGGCCTCCAGTGCTATCCTAATTCTTATATTTAGGTAAAGGAAAGTTGTCATTGGAGTATAATATAATATTTATAATAGTGTAGCACAGACAGTTGCATATTCCCAATGGCAATTTATGGAAATAGAAGTATGGAAAATCCAGTTGTTCATATCTGATGTAGGAATGTATCCAGTTTATTTTATAGCACATGGTACTCAATCTGTATTTACTGAATAAGTTTACCTTTGGCAACATTACTTCTTTTCTTCATTTTTATTAGCCCAACAGTCACAAAAGTAGGCTGGCTAACGATAGAATCACTGTGGGTTAGATTAATGCTGAGGTGTAGGGAGCACCTGCATGTTTAGAAATTTGCCCCATTAAATATGTACATTATCCATTTGTTAATAATCTATAATACCTAACATTTTGCTTAAGAGGTTGTCGGCTATTTTTTATGATACATTTAGAGGCCATATGTGCTATTTAGTTTTTCCTACCAGAAGAGACTTTAATAAATAATGGGACATTATATTTAGGTTAACAGTCCTAACAGTCAAAGGAATGAGATTCCAGAGCATTTCTTGGAAAAGTGCCTTGTTTCTTCTTAAGTAGCTAAATTAATTCCTTTTGTTAATTTTTGTTGTTTTCTTTTGCTCTACCTTATGTAGAAATGTAGAAGAACTTATAGGATAAGGTAATTTTCCCTTAATAATATTCTACCTGAATGCTTGATAACTTTTTTCCCCAAGACTATTATTCGCATTCTTCAATAATTTTTGATGATTTTAGTTCTATTTAAGTGTTACTCAAATTAGATATTCAGTTGTAAAAGATGATTGATTAAAGGTAATCCTTGTTGTCTTATAGTCAGTGTTTGTATCTTACTTTCCTGGTTATCTTAAGTAGTTATATCTTGCCAAATATTCGCTAGTTAATACATATGTATTTGATTATATTTTAAATTTTATTTTTCTCTGCTTTTACTTCAAATTTTCAGATATTACTTTGTAGTAGTGATAGCTAAAAATGTGGCTTTAGAAATACATTATATGATTATATTTGCTTTATAAGCAGATAAACTCTTTTCTTGGCTGCTATGTCAGGTGCTTTATAGGGAAATGATGTTGGGTATCATGTGAATGATACTTAGGAGCTTTAATAATTTTGAAATTTCTTAGGGGAATTTGTTATTTTTTTAGAGTAGGGGCCTTTTATAACTTGGCTCTTCATGTCACAGGCCTCGAACTACTCTAGAGCAGTGGTTCTCAAACATTTGGTTTCAGGACCCCTTTATATTCTTAAAAAAGTTATTGAGGATCCCAATTATTATTTGTATAGGTTGTATCTATATTTACCATTTCAAATTAAAACTCAAATTAAAAAAAAAAAACAAAAACATGTGGAAGCATACCAGTGGTCAGATCGATAATGCTATTCCATGTCATGTTACCTGTGGGAAACTTCACCTTACACCTGTGAGAAAGAGTGAAAAAGGCAAATAACCTTACTATTATTATGAAAATAGCCTTTACCATGTGAACCTCCCTGAAAGGAGAGTTCCCAGACTATACCTTGAGAACTATTCTAGAATTGAGCATTAGATAACTTGCATTTTCTGCATATGGGTACTTGCCTTTATCAATTGTGACAATTTTTTGAATTTAATGAAGTTTGAATAGTCTCCTCAGAATATGGTTATGTGTCCTTTTCAAACTTTTATCTTGAAGCTTTGAGATCACTAAAGTTATCTTGCTTTTTAGTTTTCTGAAGTGAATTATTTGGGTAGGGCCATATAGCATTTTCAGAGAATGGTTCTCACTTTCAGGAATTTGAAACTAGAGCTGTGGATGAGAATTAATATATGACAGAAAATCATATCAATAGAACTTTTCAGATGCAAGTTTTTTTTTTTTTTAAATAAAAGGCTGTGCTATGTTATATGGATTAGATATCTTGGCATGTGAGGAACTGGCAGTTGTCATCTGATTTGCTAAATAAAATGTAAACATTTTGCCAAAATTTATAAATAGCCAATTGTGTTTAGGGCTTCTTACTTATTAATCAATTGCCTTTTGACACAGTTCAAAATAAAACAAATTGCTCTAAAGCCTGAAATTACCTGAGGTTCTTGAGAATTTAACCTTAAAAATGCAGATGAAGAACCATTGGTCAAACTTCAAAGTATACTAATTTTTTCTTTTCTTTAGGCCAGTAGGATTCCTCTAATTCTGGTTTTAGGTGAAGTATGCTGGAATTTACTTCTGTTAAAAATATATAACTTAAATAGAATTTATCCCTATGAGTATATTATTTATAATCATCTCTGTGGAATACATATATAAATGAACACTAAATATATTTTAGACCCATGGAGATCTAACATTGGGCAATATTATTTTTAGTATAAATATTAAATCCCAAGGGAAAAATGAAATAATTTACTATAATTAATTTATTACTATAGTGTCCCATTTATTCTTATAATTACCATTAGATTCCTTTAAATTATTCTCTAATATTAAAATTATAGTCTAGGTGATATACTCTAGTACTGTTCAAAACCCACTTTCCCCATTTCTATTTTTCTGTAAAAATCGTACTTTCAAATGATATATTTTGTGGTAAAAACTTGATCTTCATTATTTTCTCCAGAAACTTGAAAAATGATATACAGCTTCAGAAATATGCTAATAAAATTGATATTAAATTCGCTTTTATATTCTGATCATAAGTGTGTTAAACTCATGTTTGATCTATTAAAGACAACTAGGAGCATAATTTTTTAAGAGAATATATTATTTATATTTTACCATTGAAACATAATCAGCCATTTGGTTGGGTATTATTAGAGGGCTCTAGTTCCCCCATTTCTCTCTTTGCATTTCATTTCTAGCAAGATGTCTAATGATGGGAATCAGAGAGCCAGAAATACCAGTTAATTTTGTTTTCTCTACTTCTAAATGATAATATGTGTAGAGAAAAATTCGTGTAGAGATATAATTTAGTCACTATTTTTTTTTAGCAAAATGGAAAAATAAGAAAACAATGGAATTAGAGCTACCTGTTGATGTTAATTTTTCTGATCCATCAAAATTTACTTGTTTCCCACATAGGTAAGCTTTTTTTCAAGGCCTAATTAGTTGTAATTCAACCAGAGAAATATTGTAGAGGCCATAAACAAGACTTGTTCATTAGGTCTTTTTCTAGCCTGTGTTTTTTTTTTTAACCTATAGTATTTTATGAAGTCTTTTCTGGATTGACCATGGGAAATTGTTTAAAGTAGCTGTGCTCATTGAGGCTTATAACTTTTCTTTTGGGGTTTCAAGGAAGATTCCCCATTGTAATAAATGGTCAGCTTATGTTACTCTTCTCAAACCACCTAAAGAAGTACAGAGGAAAGCATGAGAATGAAGATTTATTGAGTACCTAGTATATCTCAGGAACATTCTTGCATATATTATCTTGTTAATTCTTACAACAACTCATGAGGTAGGTATTATTTTTATCACCTCATTTTACAAATGAGAAAACTGCAGCCTCAGGATTCAACAGCTATTAAATGAGAGCTGAGAAAGATCCCAAAGAATGTTTGACTTTTAAGTCAAATGCTGTTACATTTGAAGCATGGCTAATGGGATGAAAATCTGGACAAATTTTTATTTGCTCACTATCAAAATACTGTAAAACACGAACTTTCTTTTTTGGAAGTTTTTATCTTTATTTGCTTGCCATGTTCAAAGCCCTTAAACTACTTTGATTTTATAACAAAGAGAAGCAAAATGTAAAATTTTAAAGTGCCAGAATTCTTAAGAGAAATGGCATACCTCCTTGTTGACTTTTGCATTCTTTTTTGATTTGTTTTACAGATCAACTGCAAATTTAGATATATTACACAGAATATATTGATAGTGTTAATTGTGACATTCAGATGTCGTTCAAATGTCACAAATTGCTATTGAAATGATGACTAAATGTTACCTTTTGAAACTGGTCAGTTTAAAAGGATATAAAGATATAAAAAACATTATGAAACTATGTTTAACGAGTATATACTATGGATCTAATTTATTTTGTTTCTGATTATGGTTAGGGTCTTAAATGAAAATATGTAGACGCAAGTGCCATCTTTTATTATATATAATGCTAAGCCCAATCTGTTAAATATGACGAGAATCATTATCTTGTTAAATCATTTAAGATTTAAATTCATAATGCAGAAGGTTAAACTTAAAAGAAGCAAACTCTTGAAATTTTTCTTTAGATTTATCTAATAATATATCTTTCTCCTTTTATATTACTATTAGATAGGTATCTGTATTACTTTACACTAGACATTTATCGACATAAACCTAATAGAGTGCTCTAACTCTCTAGCAGCTAGTCAACTTGGGTCCTTTTTAGATAGCTTTCTGTACCTATTTACACAGATATACCTAGGTAGGCGCTCATGTATTCACCATCCAGTAGTTCATGATTCTGGAACTTCTGAATTCCCCTTAGACACTTAAGGATTATAAAGTCTGTAATTATGCTATTACGTACATATGTACATATTTGCTTATGTGTCATCTTAAATTGATTTCTTCTTGTTTAATATATGTGTGTCTTGTCTCCCCTAGGCAGGGTTATAAGTTTCCAAAGAGTAGGAGTCTAATGTTTTATACTTTATAAACCTCTGTATTGGATTAATAATTACTTGTAGGTTAATTTTTCCTTTCTCCTAGTTTAAGGGATCAGACTGTAATTCAATGTCAGAGCAGATGTAGAGTTGTTAGTTGCATGCTTGCTTTTTCATTTCCTAGAGAAGAGCGAGTATGGGACTTTCAGAGAAGTGAAAAAAATAAAAGGGCCCTTATAGGGTCCTTTGACAAAGGTGCACTTCCCAGATGTAGCCTACTCTGAAATTACTAACAGAATGGGGAATACAGCATAATTTTGGAAATGCACAAAATAATTTAAAGTGAGAATTTTATTTAGTAAAATTACTTTTTAATTTAAATATGTGATTTTCTGATATATTTTAATATTAGGACTCGCTGATTCTTGAGAAGAGTCAGAACTGGAGTTCTCAAAAAATGGACCATATTCTGATTTGCTGTGTTTGTCTTGGAGATAATAGCGAAGATGCTGATGAAATAATTCAGTGTGACAATTGTGGAATTACAGTCCATGAAGGTAATTTTGGTTTGTTTTGTGTCCTTTTTTGAAATGGCTGATTGACACTGCATTTGCATAAGTAAAATTACCCTTTTACATTTGTAGTATTCCAAGATTTTTCTATATTTCATAATGTCTCAATTGATACTGAATCCTTAAAATATGATGGGTGTTATTTTTCAGATTATGTTAATTTTAAAGTCTACGACCATGCTACCCTGAGCAAGGCTGATCCCGTCTGATCTCAGAAGCTAAACAGGGTCGGGCCTGGTTAGTACTTGAATGGTAAACCACCTAGGAAGACCGGGTGCTGTAGGTGTAAAAAGTAAAAAAATAAGGGATTGTAAACTGACAAGGTCCTTGCAATCTGTGAGGTCAACCAAGGGGTTGCCTCACTTAAAAAAACATGTTTTTTTAAAAACACTTTTAAAATTAAATTTATTGGAGATACATTCATTAATAAGATTATATAAGTTTCAAGTGTGTCATATTGTAATACATCATCTGTATATTGCATTGTGAACTCATCACCCAAAGTTTAGTCTTGTTTCATCAACATGTATTTGATCCCCTTTACCCTCTTCAACCTCTCTCCAAAATGTTTTTAAAAATTAAAATACAAATGTTATTATGTTGAAACCACAGTATTTATTTGATGGTCAGAGTTATGCTTTTTTCTTCATGGCATTTCTAGTTTTTAAATGAAATTTAGATGTAGAAAAAGTCTAGTATGTTAGTCCAGTAGAATATAATACAGTATTTAAAAAATTATACTCTAAGTCTAGTCTCTTATTTAATAGTTATTTTTAATTTTGAACTTGAAAGGAGAATTTATAGAGATCATCTTTTAAAATCTAAAATAAGAGTCACTGTAATATATTGAAAGTATTTTTTTCGATTATAATTTTTGAACCTTTTTTGTTACTTAATTTTTTTTTTTACTTATAAATTTTTATTTGACATAATTTCAGACTTACAAAAAAATTATAGGAGTAATACAAAGAATTCCTTTATACTCTTCACTTCAATTTCCCAGTTGGTAATATTTTGCTATATTTGTTTTATCTTCTTGTATAATAGTTTTTATCTGACCTCTATGAGCGTAAACCCCCTCTATCCCTAAATACCTCAGTGTATATTTTTAAGAAAAAGGGCATTCTCTTACATAACCAAATAATTATCAAAGTCAGGAAATCAGCACTGATAGAATATTGTTATATAATCTATCAACTGTATTCACATTTTACCAATTATCCCAATAATGTAAACTCTAGCAAATTAAATCCAGGATTATGCACTGCATTCAGTTGTCATGTCACTGAATGTTTAGTCACCTTTAATCTAGAACAGATACTGAGTCTGTATGTTTCATGATTGGAGCATTTTTGAAGAATAGAGGCCAGTTCTTTTATAGAACGTCCTTTATATTGGGTTTTTCTTACGTTTTCTCATGATTAGGTTCAGGTAGGTTATGTGCTTTTGGCAGGAA